GAGCTGCTCTTTGAAATCTTCTGTTCAGCTCTTTTATCTTGTCATTTCTTCCATTTGCTTTACCTACTCTCCTCCTTTCAAGAGCAAGTTTCAGAGTCTCTACTGACGTCCATTTTGGTCTTTTCTACCTTTCCTGTCTTTTTAATGACCTTTTGCATTCTTCATGGATGATGTTCTTGATGTCATCCCACAGTTCCTCTGGTTTTCAGTCATTGGTGTTCAATGCATAAATCTGTTCTTTAGATGGTCTCTAAATTCAGAAGGGATATAATCAAGGTCATATTTTGGCTTCTGTTGACTTGTTTTAATTTTCTTCAGCTACAACTTGAACTTGCATATGAGCAGTTGATGGTCTTTTCTACAGTCAACTCCTGGCTTTGTTTTGGCTGAAGATACTGAGCTTCTCCATCACCTTTTTCCACAGATGTAGCAGATCTGATTCCTTTGTACTCCATTTGGTGAAGTTCACATATAAAGCCACCATTTATGTTGTTGAGAAAATGTATTTGCAATGAATAAGTTGTTGGTCTTGCAAAATTCTATCATGTGATCTCCAGCATCATTTGTATCACCCAGGCCATATTTTCCAACTACTGGTGATTTTTCTGTGTTTCCAACTTTTGCATTCCAGTCACCAGTAATAATCAGCACATTTTGATGCATGTTAGGTCAATTTCAGACTGCATAAGGTGGTAAAAATTGTCAATTTCCTCATCTTTGGCTTTGGTGATTGGTGCGTAAATTTGAATAACCAGTATTAACTGGTCTTCCTTGTAGGCATATGGATATTATCCTATCACTGACAACACTGTACTTCAGGATAGATCTTGAAACATTTTTTGTGACAATGAATGCCACACCATTCCTCTTCAATTTGTCATCCCAGTATAATAAATCATATGGTAGTTTGATTAGAAATGGCCAAAACCAGTGCATTCTAGCTCACTAATGCCTAAGATATCAAAGTTTATGCATTCCATTTCATTTTTTACAACTTCCAGTTTTCCTAGATTCATACTTCATACATTCCATGTTCCAAATATTAATGGATGTTTGCAGCTGTTTCTTCTTGAGTTTGCTTCGCATCAGCAAATGGAGGTCCCAAAAGCTTTACTTCATCCACATCGTTGAGGTCGACTCAACTCTGAGGAGGCAGCTTTTCCCAGCTGTATTTTGAGTGCCTTCTGACCTGAGGGGCTCATCTTCTGACAGTATATCGGACAGTGTTTCAGGGATATTCATAAAATTTTTCAGTAATATATCAGACAGTGTTTCTCTGCTCTTCATAAGGTTTTCACTGGCCAATTTTTTGAGAAGTGGATGGCCTCTTCCTTCTTCCAAGTTTGTCTTAGTCTTGGAAACTCCGCTGAAACCTGTCCACCACAGGTGACCCTGCTTCTTTTTGAAATACCGCTGGCATAGCCTCTAGCCTCACAGCAACAGGCAAGCCACCACAGTGCTACACACTGACAGATGAGTGGTGGGGTAACGTGATTAGTTGCCATTAATTCACTCCCCAATTCACAGCAGCCCCATGCACAATGCAACAAAACGCTGTCCATTGCTGCTTGTGGATTGGACCATTGGGGTCCGTAATGTTTGTTTTTGGTAGGGGTGTGTATGTGTGTGTGTGTGATTTGGTGGAAGTTTACAGAGCAAATTCATTTTCCATACAGCAGTTGATACACATTTTGTTACATGACATTGATTGCAATCCCCCCAATGTAACAGCTGTCTTCACACTTCCTCCCTGTGGTTACCTTTTCCCTGTGTCCTTCACTAGCCATTCCTGCTTCTGACCTATCTCCCTGTGCAAATACTGCCCTGCTGGTCTCCCATGTCTGATTTTTTTTTTTTTAATTGTGATTTGGGTGAAAATTTTGAGAGCAAATTCACTTTCCATACAGCAGTTTCACATACACTTTGTCTCATGACATTGACTACAATTTACCCCAATGCTACAGCTCCCCTCCCACTTCCTCCTGATAGTTACCTCTTTCCTGTGTCCATCCCTCCATGCACTTCTGCCCACTCGACTGTCTCCCTGTGCACAAACAGCCCTTCTTTCTCCCGTGACTGTTCTCTCCAAGGAGTGTATCTACCTCAGGTAAATGTTCAACTCATATGCCTGTCTTTTATTTGGCTGAAAGCCACAGATGTGGGTTCAATTCCAGACCTGAAGGGCAGCTAGGGGCCATAGTCTCAGTGGTTCCACCAAGCTCTATCCGACCAGCAAACCTGGTTCACCCCCCTCCTTTTTTTTCCCCCAAATGATTTTGAGTTTTGTTCCACATTGTTCTCCCTCTCTATCCAGGATCTCCTACATAGATACCCTCTGAGTGGTTGACAGTGGTAGCCGGGCACCATCTAGTTCTTCTGGTCTCATAGTTGTATAGGCTGTGGATCGCACGGTGTACCAGTCGCCAGGACTAATTGTTTCCATGAATCTTTGGTTTTCTTCATTCTTCTTTGCTCTGGATGAGGAGAGACTCATTGTTGCATCTTAGATGGCTGTTTGCAAGTTTTTAAGACCCCAGTCACTGCTCACCAAAGTAAGATGTAGAACAATGTTTTTGTTTTGTAGTATGTTATCCCAGTTGAGCTTGATGTCCCCCCCGCCACGATCATGGTCCCAAACCTGTCAGCTCAGTGACTCACTCCTTCAGGGTGTTTGGTTGTGCCTAAGAAGTCATCCTAACTTTGCCCCATTGTTGTTGTTGTTGGGTGCCATCAAGTCATCTCCAATTCATAGTGACTTCGTGTACAGCAGAATAAAACATTGCCCAGTCCTGTGCCAGCCTCATGAGCCCTACTGTACCTGAGCCCATCACTGCAGCCACTGTGTCAGTCCATCTTGTTGAAGGCCTTCCCTTCTTTCATTGACCCTCCACTTTCTCAAGCATGACATCCTTCTCCAGAGAATGGTCCCTTCTGATAACATAACCAATTAATTGCCCATTAGCTCTATTATATATATATATATATACGGACATTCTTGTAGCCCATACAAATACATATGTAGAAATACTACGTGCCAAAAGTCCATAGGGTTTTCACAGCTGATTTTCAGAAGTAGCTCACTAGGCCTTCCTTCCTGGCCTTTCTTGGTCTAGAAGCTCTGCTGAAACCTGTTCCGCATCATGCTCCACTGACAGAAAAGTGGTGCCTACACATGAGGTGCGCTGGCCGGGAACTGAACACAGGACTCCTTCATGGAAGGTGAAAACTCTACCACTGGGCCACCGATGCCTTCATTCACTGAGCATGTCCTGTGTGCCTTTGTTAGGTGCTTGTGACATCTTTGTGGCCTGCCTAGCATGCTCCCTGCCCCTTCTGGTCCCAGCATTTTGATGTTTCCCTAAGCACCCATCCCTCTCCCAGTTGATTCAGACAGGGTGCCTTCCACCCAGGCCAGGTCAGTAAGTGTCAGCCTGGGAAAGGGGACCTCTTTGAGGAACTGAAGCTGCCTGAGCTGCTGGGGCCATTTCTTTCCCATGAGGTGTGAGCTTGATGCAGAAAGAACCAATAGAGGAAAAGACTAAGGGACAGAGGGAGAACATTTGGGTCCTTGGATCTAGCCGTGCCTGAAGCCAACATTCCTCAGCTTTCTCACTTCCCCTTTGTTGTTTGAGGCAGTGAGTTGCATGTCTACCACATGCTATCATCCAATCCTGGCCACGACCCTGAGATAGGGAGAAAATTAGTCCCATTTTACAGGTGAGAAAAGGCGAGGCTCAAAGACACATAACTTGGATGGAAGTTAGACAGCCAGCAAGTGGCTCTTACTTGGCATTATGTCTTAGAATCTAGCCGTCTACAATTCTTTACTCTTAACTAGACCACCCAAGTTGTGAAGAGAAAATTCTGCAGTTTGCCATTGGCCCTACTTGATTGCCTTAACTGGTTTGGGGGTGATGCCCACCTGAGTCTCTCACCCTGGTCAGGCCCTTCCACTTCTTAGGTGTCCGAACCCCACCCACTTTCCCCACACACAGACAGACACAGGTTTGGCTGCACGGGTGTCCAGTGTTTAATCTCACGTAGCTAATGAGCGATGATGACTAGGAAGGGGAGGGGAGCGTCCGCCTTGCTCCCGTTTCTGGCTGCTTCCGCCAACTCTACCCACCTGGATTTCTCCACACTCTGCCCGCAGACGCGCTGGGTGCCAACCTTGGATCATGGTGGGGGCCGCAGGAACAGCTAGGGCGGGTCTCGGGAGGCGAGGTAGGCGGCCAGGGTCACAAGGGCGGCGGCATACATGCACACGCCCAGGCCAATAGCGAGGACCCCCAGCAGGAAGGCACGGCGAGAGGCGGTCCCTGCGCCCTGGAAGTCCCCCTTGGCCCAGGCCTTGTTGGTCTGTGGAGTAAGGGGGCAGCAGTAACCTAAGTATCCCCTCATCCCCAGCCTGCTTCCCGCAGCCCCACACCCTTCCCCTTCTCAGCCCCATCCCACCCACCTAACCATATAAGCCGCAAACAGATATGGAGGACTTACTATGGGTGAGGCACAGCCAGGCTCTGGGATACTGGGCACTGATAAGTATATATATTTATACTTATATATAAACGTATAATTGATAATATGAATAAATATCTATTTATATCATATTACTATTTCCCTCTCTTGTAACTCACTTGGTCTTCACAATGACCCTATGAGGCAGGAATTAAATCAGTTTCATGGATAGGGAAAAGGAGGCACAGAGAGATTAAGTGGCTTGCCCAAAATCTCAAGACTGGGAGACCCAAGACTTAAGTCCAGGTTCTCAACCACCAAGCGGGGCTGCCCTCCCAAGAGAGAAGGCTCATCTCAGCCCTGAATGTCAGTATGCATATCCTTCTCTCCATCTTTTTCTCTCTCCAGGCATAGCCCCTCTTTTTTTTTTTTTTTTATGTATTTTCCTCTTTTACATGCCAATTTTTTGTGTGCCTGCAAATGAACTTTTTCGGTAATTTTATTCCAGAAAATGTCAAACATCCACAAAAGTAAATATAGTATTACCATGAGTCCCCATGTCCCCATCACTCAGTCTCAGCAATGATCAATTCACAGCCAGTCTTTCACCTAAACCCCTTCTGTCCCTTTCACACAGGCTGGTAGCTACTCCCCTGGTTACTGAGAAGGGGCACAGGAATTCTTTTGAGCAATAGCGTTCGTTCAGTGCCATCCTCTTCCTCCGTTTGTCCTCTGTACCGTTTGAAGATCTGTGGGAGCTCTGGTGGCGCAGTGCCTAAGGCACTTGACTGCTAACCAGAAGGCTGGAGGTTCAAACCCACCAGCCGCTCCTCGGAAGGAAGGTTGGGCAATCTGCTTCTGTGGTGATACCGCCTCGGAAACCCAAGGAGGGGTCTCTGTGAGTCGGGTCCCACTCGGCAGTGTGTGCCTTATGGCCCGGGAACCTTCACTCTGTTGCTTTTCCTCCTGCTCTGTACTCTCCATGGGGGGTGACTCACCACACACTCCTGCTGCCAGTCCCCAGTGACGCAGACAAAACCCTCCTTTTGTCTGTACCAACACAACCAACTTATCTACCCACTACCATGTCTGGCCTAGACAGTCCAAGGAGCCTCACCACTAGTCTTCCTGCATCTGCCAGTCAAAGCCTGGCACCTACTGGCTGTTGTTAGGTGCCGTCCAGTTGGCCTTCAACTCGTGGCGACCCTTTGCATGCTGCGCAATCTGTGTCATCCCTTTGGCCAAGAATCGGCCCAGGCCTTTCCTCCTCGTCCATCTTACTTTGGAAGTAAGTACTGAAACCTGTTCAGTATCCTAGCAACACACAGACCTCCCCTGACAGACGGGTGGAGGCTGCTCTTGAGGTGCCCTGGCCGAGAACCCAACCTGGATCTCCCACCCGGAAGGTGAGCATTCTACTCTGAACCACGACTGCGTCACTCAACTAGAACGAGCCTGTGAAAATGCAAATCTGAACATGCCCCTCCCCCTTCCACCCTGCCCTGAGCTCCAATGCCACAGCTCCCCAGTGTTCTTGGGAGAAAATGAGCAGGATCCTTAACAGGGTCTAGACTAGCGCTGTCCAACAGGACTTTCTGTGATGATGAGAAGGTTCTCTAGCTGCAATGCCCACTATTGGAGCCACCATGGTGCTGCACATGACTGCTGAGCACTTAAAATGTGGCTGCTCCGAGCCATCTAGATGCAGTGATGGGT